AAAAAAAAATGAAGACAAGATTTTGACTTATGATGATTATGGTTTTTCTCATTACCCATGTACAAAATTAGTTGTACCATCAATTGGATCAATAATCCATGTTGGATCATTACTAAATATTGTTTTAGTTCCAATTGAAGTTGATTCTTCTCCAATAAATCTAAAATTAATTTCAATAAAAATTTTAAAAAAAATTATTTTCATATAATATTTATTAACTTATGTGTGGGAAATTTTTCTCGTAAATTTTTTATTAAAACTTCTTCTACACGTTGATCGAATTCTGTAACAAGATCAGCTGCACCATCTTTGGTTTTAACTTGTTTTGTTATTGCAAAACCTTCACATACAATCTATATAAAAAATAATTTTATTTATTCTTTTCCATTATGGTTTTTTTCTAGTCAAAGAATATGACATTGTTGACTCATTATTGCAAAACAAAAAAAAGTATATTATACACATGGGTTTTTTTTTGCATAAGGTTCTATATAGACAACTAAAAAGAAGAAACGTACTTTGCCAGCCAAAGATACAAGATTAAGTATAGTTTTATAATAAATATCAATATCTTCTGCAGTCATCTAGAAAATAACAAAACAAATGAAATATCATCCAATATAAAGGTAATGAGATACAATGTCGACGATTATATATCTTCATAAACATGTGCTAGAAGGAAATATTATTTGTTTTTTCTTTCTCATGGTAGATAATTTATATTTGTCAAACATTTATAAAAAAATAATAATAAAGTAAGACTCTAATGTGATTTTATAATAATGATATAAACTTATCAAAAACATTTTGTAAGGTAACAATTAACTATTGTTTTTGCAGAAAAAAAAATCCAGGAATTGCTTCGATTGTTTTTTTTCTTGCCTCGTTTTATTTATGAAAAATATAACTTATATAGAGTTCGAAAGAGGATTTAGAGTTTTGATCAATTAATACAAAACATTTCCTTGCAATACATTTTTATGATGAGATTTAAGAATTGACATTGTGTTTCATCGCTTGGGTATCATATGCTATATCTATATATATTCAACGGATTTCTTTTTTATTCATGAGTAGTTTTAACAATTAGTTTTAATTTAATTTCACAACGAAATGTTGTTGTTAAAGATTTTTCCGCTTCAATACTGATTAATTTAATTGCTTCACCATGATTTTTTAATAATACACTCTAAAAAAAAATAAATTAGAATTAAAATTTAAAGCAAAAAAAGAAAAAAACAAGAATTCTACATACAACATCACGTTTCAATTGTTTAGCTCGAGGATATATTAGAAATGTCATATTGAGAACATT